GTGGCTAAACAACCCGAAGCAGCCTAGCAAAAATTTGAAAACGACAGAGTAAACATCACTTAATAATACGCTAATTAATATTACAATAAACAGACTACTTTATGTCGTACAGCATGAGTTCGATCTCTGAGTTCACAGCAGTAGCCTATGATTTACTCTTTACTTAAATAATATAAATCCTCTCTTTCAGCCCTTCTTGGAATTGTTATGTGTAACCAAAGATTTCTCTTCTGGCTTCCCTTCCTTAGGCTCAGAATGGCTGTGATATATTATTACATTAGGATTCACATCAAAATCCTTGGCGAAATGGTCAATTTTCCTTGCTTCAGAATCCTGATGGAGAAGGTCCTTGATCGCTTTCGGCATGGGCTGCTCTTTCATTAAGCTCTTCCAGTATTCCCCAGGTTCCTTCCTTGCATAACTGGGGCTGCAACCAATCTGTTTCAGAAATTCCAAAAAAAGCAGATTAGTTAAGGGAAAAAGCTTGAAAGATTAGCCAAGCTGATATTTAATAATGCTTACCAAGAGAAGAGAGAAAAAAATTAAGAAAGCAAAGATGGACTTCATCTCTTTGTTGTTTTGCTTGCTGCAGTACTTGAAGATTTGGTGGCTACCCTTTGTGTTAGGCATTTCAAACTCTAACTCTTGCCATTTATAGGCCGAGTATATGGACAAGAAGAAAGTTTATTAAAGTTTAATTATTTAATTTAATTTAATTACTATCATATTATAAAATAAAAATTTGCTATATATATAAATAATTTCTGGTGATGATCTCATGACCGGTGGCCCATGATAAGGATCCTAGGGTTTGTTGCCTTTTAACAAATCAGGATGGTACTTTCATTTACTGTTTAAAACCTGATAAAAAGTACTCACAAAATTCAGAATGCACATATTATACAATAATTAACACCAAATGCTTTTGTTTTGTGCAGATAAAAACTGAAAATATTTGACTATTTTCTTGATACTTTGAAGAGTGGATCTGTACCTAAGTTATGTTTTACCATATTTCACATGGAACCCGTCAGCATCAGATCCCAACATCTCAATTTTAAACATATTAAAATGAAGAGGTATATGATTCTGGTAAAGCATTATAGTAAAGAGGTTTGTGCAAGTTGATAATATATAACAATAATAATGAGCTTTTGAAAATGTTAGATATGGTTCATACCCTTGCCAGATTATCAGCTTACGCGGACAAATATTTGGATTTGAATCGAGTTAACCTAAATAGAGTTACGTTTACTATTATATGCATATTGTAATAGTGAAAATCTAATGTGAAAAAATATCGAGAGAGAGTGAATTATCATCACTACTGTTGTATTATTGCAGATTTCTGAAACTTAATAAAATTTTCTCTGTCTTAAATGTTTGACGTAGTTCTTATATTGGGAACGAACCAGGAAGAATCGTTATCCTCTTTACTTTTCTACTTTGTTACTGTATGTGTTTTGATGCTATTTTTTAACAGAAAAGGTGTTAATTAGAGCCCCATAACCTGAACATTACATAATATTATTTACAGCTTTAAACACAACCATGATGGCTTCTTGAACCAAGGTGTTAATTAGAACCCCAAAACCTGAACATTACATAAATAATATTTACAGCTTTAAACACAACCATGATGGCTTCTTGAACCAAGGTGTTAATTAGAACCCCATAACCTGAACATTACATAATAATATTTACAGCTTTAAACACAACCATGATGGCTTCTTGAACCAAGGTGTTAATTAGAACCCCAAAACCTGAACATTACATAATAATATTTACAGCTTTAAACACAACCATGATGGCTTCTTGAACGCTGATATAGAATACTTAAAAATTGGGATAGAATATTGATTTCTATATGACAGCGAATTAAGAACCGTTAAGTATACCCTTTTCCTGGTAATAAAATGTGTTATTTAATTCGTTTCAATCATTTTCTTTTAGACTATAATCTAATCTCTTGTCTTTCCATGATAATATACATATATATATTAAACTCAATTAATAGAAACCTTACATCTTGCATTGAACACTCATGAATCATAATCTCCCATTAAATTGTACTATAATCTGTACCTAATAACTGCTACGTCTGCAAAGACAACTCAAAAGTACAACTCATACACCAAATGATCGAGTTTAATGAATTCTGAGGCAAGCATCCAATATGGTGTTCATTCATAATTGAATATTTATGTATTATAGATTTGGTTATATATAATACATAACTAAATCTTGTCAGTCTCGCATTTGGTTTTGGTTATTTATGTTTTATTTTATTTTCAAGCACTTATCGGACACCATTTAATTAAATCCTAGAGAACAAACTGGGGATCATTGAGCATGAAGTTGACTAATGACAGAAGATGCTAGGGAAAATAAATAAATAAACAAACTATTATGTGGCTGAACCGATCGAGAGAGCCTTGCTAGCTGCCACAAGTTTATGCAGACAAAAAATTCCCAAATAAAAACAAATTTTAAATGGTTAAATAGAAATATAACTTCGGATGTTATGAATATTTATTATATTAGAAACCATTTAAGCTTCATTTATAAATTTGAGTAAACGACTTTTTCCCACCCAAGGTTTACCTTAATGACACTTCCCATCCAAAGTTTATATTTCATTAATATCTAAAATATATTTCACTTTCTCAGTTGGCATTCAGCAAGTTACCAGGAGTCAAGGTAAGAGGGACCTTGTAAAGTAGAGACTGGTGGATTAAATGGTGGACCGATTGAATATTCGCCGTCAGAATCAGTTAGAAATTAGCTAAGAATGAAAAACTCTAGCTTTGCAATAGTCGACAATTGACAAGAAATCAAATGTCGAAGTGAGAGAGATTTTGTAGAGAGGAGATCGGAAGTTCAATTATGGTGACAGAGAGAATTTTTGTTGTTAAATTAGTCAGAACCAGCTTTGGATAGTAACAGAATTTTAATAGTATTTTAAAACTTTTTAGGTGGGAAAATGTCATTAAGGCAAACCTTGGGTGGGAAAAAGTCGTTTACTCTATAAATTTCACAAAAGAAAAAAGATGACTATGAGTCATTGAGACATGTACAACAGTGAAAGATATTAATTAAAACATCGATAATGAGAGGTTGACCTTTACATTATCAAAAATTAATTAATACGCCTATCTAATTATCGCCATGAGAAAAACGGTGGCCATGCCTGTCTGGCTGTCTCCATTCATTTTTTTTTTGTTCCCACCTTAACTAATTGAAGTCTTATCCTACACGTACCTTTTAACATTATTCATTTATTTATATTTATCATAGTATCACTCACTATATTAGTCAAACTCAAAGTGCTTCAAGAAGACATTATCAATAATATAATACTATTAGAATTTGTAATATTGCAGAAGGGTCTACGATTGATACCCCTGTTGATTATCAGCTGACTAATAAAGAAAAGGAAACACCAGCAAAAAGTAAACATAGTGGAGTTGCCAAGAGACTCAGAGACAAAGATTAGGAAGGAGACAAATTGAAATTTCCAAGAGTCGGATTAGATCATGGAGGGCCAGAGAAGGCAAAGAGGTTGGCTGTTTCTGCAGAAGTCAACTTGAAAATGTGCAGCATGATAATATAATATATTTATACTTGTACTTTTCAAAACAAATATTGTCTAGTTGTGTTGTACAGTTGTGTTCTCTTTCGATTCATGCATGCATAGTTTTATTTTTGGTTTTTAATAGTTTTTCTTAGGTCTAATCTTTCATTTTAGTTGAGGTTCCGTGTATTTTCGTTTCTTCTGATGAACATGGCACAAAATTGGCTTTGTCTGCCAAAGTCAACTTCATAAGTTCATGCATTTTAATTAAACGAACTTGATGGATATTGAAACGTTTCACAAATAAACTTCTAGCTTCTTGTGTATTTTATTCAATATATTTCATGTATGATATATATATATAGGTTAATTGTTAAGTTTGATATCCACGGCAGAAAAAACGTCAACTTAGTCTTTGGATAAGCTTTCATATGAATCAGATTCCGATCCAAAAATCCCACGAGAGATTCTTGTAGATTTGATTCGATTAATGGGGTGTCTCGATTTACTTGATAAAGAATCCTGAAGAAATACCAATCTCTCATATGATTAAAAGCTCCACCAAATGCTAACATATAAACTTGTAAATTTAGCCATACATTAGTACATTAGTTGTTGGGAGGGGATGCAAATTAAAAAAAAAAAAACAGTGACCCTTAGTGAGGAAGAAAGGATCACCATTAGTATTGTGGTTTGAGAACCTTTTTTCTTTTCTCTAAGTTTCAACATAAAAAAAGTAGTTAAAAATTTAGTTGGGTTGGTGTTATGCATGATGAAGGTTAAAAATTTAATTGGGTTGGTGTTATGCATGATGAAGATGGGTGATTTAGGTCCAAAAAGATGTTGCTGGTGATGGCATCATTGTGGTGTTACTGCTACATATATGATCACAGTCATCATACAACTTTATAATGTAATTACAACTAAGGTCCATTCAAATTGTCAACCCCATAAGAAGGGGGGAAAAAAACAAAGTTCATCCAGGTTATGATGATGATTGCGATTGAAAATTTGCCAATGTCGTAATGAATGATGAATTATAATGTCCAGTTTCAACGCTTTGTTGGAAGATTTGAAAATTCCAAAGCCTTCCTTAGTTGAGTTTTTTCATGACAATGAATATATTCAAACTCTGTCACCCATCACCACCACTGTTCGTAGTCCAATTTAACAGTGTATCTTGTTTTATCTTCTTTTTTTTATTTTTTTTTTAAAAAGTAAATTTTATAAAATAAAATAAAAACTATACAAAAAGCTAAAGGTTTATCCATAGAAGAGGTATAAAGAAGACGAAAACAAATATGCCAATTTTTTGGACAAGATGATAGGAACAACCGTCCAAAAGGGAGTATACAAGCTCCAAACAAAGAAAGAAGATGGGAACAGACGTCTAACAAGGGCGTACATGCTCAAAACAAACAAGACCAATTAGTCCGACAGACTTCAGATGACTCTAAGCTGAGGATGAATGACATACTAAATTATGTTCTATCGTTTCAATAAAGAATTCAAAGATTTTAATTACATTAACAATTGCTAGTGTCATTCTTTAATTACCATTATTCTATTTAAGTGTCTGATTAGGAAAGTACTGCACCATTGCACTTACAAATACAGCCCTTCAATCCCAAGGGCCAAGGGTCAACTAACGACGTACCTTTAATTTATATATATTTTTAAAATCGTTCACTGCATGTGAAGCTTAATATATATATTTATTAATTGACTAAGATTTAATTAAATGAAGATAATGAACCTGATTAGGTCGTTTTTATATTCAATTATTAACCATTTGACTAAAATAGGTGCCACTCAGGTTAGGCCAGAAATGATTTGTTTATTTGATAATTAAATTAAAAGCCAAAATGTACTTGGAAGTTGGAACAAACCAAATAATAAGGCCAAATGAAAACCATTGACTTGAATCTGTACTAGCTAGCTGCCCCCTAGTTCCATCTCCTGATGTGCGTTTCAAACCCACTAGATTCTGTCTGATTAATATTTGTCGTTTTTTAATTTTTTTTAATTTTTGATTAAGTGCAGGGTATGCTTAATTATCACCATGTTCTTAATTGGCCAGTTGATATTTGTTACTTAGTGTTTCAAAAGCAGAAGAAAGAGATTATCGAAAAAGGTTTCAGGAAAATCTATCAGAGATGGGTTCTGGTTTTTCTTCCTGGTGCTTCACTCTTTGCCTTCTGCTTGCTGCTTTAATGGTAACTTCTTTCTCCTATATGAAACCATTTATGTTAGTAATATCTATGTAACATGAGAAACCTTCTCTGTTACTTCGAAAAATAGAAGGCAATTTTGAAGCTTTTGATTGTTTAATAGCGCCAATTTTCTGAAACTTCTGCATTTCATCTCTTGTTTATTACATGTTGCTAATGGATTTTAATGTTACCAGTGTGCTCAAGACAGTAACGCCAGGAGGGTTACAAAAGGGGAAGGAGATGATAGAAATAAATATGATCCTTTATCAGAAGCAAGCGATGGACACGATCAATGGATCAATGGCGGACATCATGCAAAAACATCCCACGTCGATCATATGGATCCTTCAGTTCATATTTTTTTCACCATAGATAATCTAAAGATTGGAAAATCACTCCCCATATACTTCTCCTACAAAAACTCTACAAAATCTTATCTACTATCCAGAGAAGAAGCCAATTCCATTCCTTTCTCTTCACAAAAATTACCTTATCTTCTTGAATTATTCTCCTTCTCCAAAGACTCTCCGCAAGCCAAAGCCATGGAGTACACACTTGAACATTGTGAACGTGAACCCATCAAAGGAGAGACCAGGTTCTGTGCTACCTCCCTGGAATCGATGCTCGATTCCGCACGTGGCTTCTTCGGATTGGATACCAACTTCAAAATTTTAACCACTTCATCTCTCACAAAGCTAACTCCTTTACAGAACTATACAATCTTGGAAGTGCCGCAAGAAATCTTTGCTCCAAAATTTATAGCATGTCATTCTTTGCCTTACCTTTATGCAGTTTTCTACTGCCATGGACAAGAGAGTAAAAACAGGCTATTCCAGATATCACTGGGTGGTGAAAATGGAGAGAAGGTCGAAGCTGTTGCCGTTTGTCACATGGACACCTCGCTGTGGGATGCCGATCATGTGTCATTTCGTGTGCTCAAAATCAAGCCTGGGGATTCTCCTGTTTGCCATTTCTTTCCTTTAGATAATTTAGTTTGGGTCCCTTTCCCTGCTTAATTTAACCAATTTAAAATTACTGTGTGTAGTACTGTAGTTTGTGTCTACTGAAAATGCTTATCACTGTAATATAATGTTTTCATCAGATAGTAGTTAGTATCTACTGCAAACATATATAATTAAATAAAGACCTCTTCGGCATTGTTTTAATAATTAACTCAAGGAGAAACCCAACAAAGTGGTCAACTGGTGGGTCAAACCAGTATCCAAAGGTTTGAAATTCAACCAAAATAGCTTTGGAAATTAATAAGTCTCTACAAGTTTGAAATCTTGCAAAAACACCCTGAATGTCGACATCAGCAATTCAGGCCAAATAGGGCTTGTTTCCAATGACAACAACACTCCCCATCACCATGAAAACACTCCCCTCAACCTCCTGACCAAAACCCATCTTAATCCTCTCCCGTTCGCTCTGCCAATCGCTGGCAATAAATTGCTATTTTGGCAAAATGACTTTTGCCTTTTCTAGTCAATTCACTCACCATAAATCACTCCCTTCACCACCTTTGAACTCACCGGGACTCCATCTCCCAAAGCTCTAACATAATTATCATTGTATGTTTGCCAATCGTCCTTCATAATTCTAGGGTTTAGGGTGAATAGTTTAAAGTGATGACCCGCCTAGCGAAGGCCTCGTGTTCAACCGGCCGGATCGAGTATCAAAACACTACTCTCAAATACTCGAGAAGCAATTAATTCAACATAAATGTACAGACCAAGGCAAGCAAGAAAAATTATTAAAATGATAATCCCACATGAAATCTTTGCTCTTTTGAACCCTTCTCGATCTGATTATCCTTACCAAAATTACCTTGAGATGCTTCCAAATCATCACAGCGCCTTGACTTATCAACATTGCCAAAAGCCTTCTTCTCTTCTTTAGGCTAACTAGCTCCGTTATATTTATAATAGAAATGACAACAGTATTGTTGTTCTCCTTGCACCTGCATGATTATGAAGGTGGTCTTGAATAACTTGAGCCTTGAGGCATGGGCTGTTCTTTCATCACCTCCTTCCAATATTCACCAACCTCTTTTCTCTCCCATCAATGTTTCCTGCAAACTGCCAAAAACACCAAAATTATTCGAGCAATCAAAGTTATAATTAATGAGTTAAACATATAATTTCATGTTATTGTTACGATAATGCCTTCTGGGTTTCACTAGAGAGTGGTATTGTTGATGTGATACCACAAGACAGTGTATACATGGCAAGTATCAATCACAATTAATTTAAACATACAGGGGGAGAGAAAAGATCAAAAGGTGTTATAATTTCACCGGAAAGTAGTAATATACCACAATTATATTCTAGATTTTTTTCTTATCAGATAATTCTAGAAAGAGCGAAATGCGAAGGTAAAATGATAACTTTAATTTATTATTTTAATTAAAGAAAATCCCTCAAAAATACAAAACAATTTCATGTTATTACTACGATAATGCCTTTTGAGCATTTATGATATTATAGAGTGGATTGTTTGAACATGAAATTTGCTTTGGATGATGCTTGCTCACCAGAAGATGTACACTTTCTACCATTATTGATTTGATTTTGCCACAAAGCTGAAGCGAGAGCTGTCTCAAAACATTTGTGACCTTAGACAAGAGTTACTTTAGGGTCTTCTAATAATATATACATATATTAAAAAAATTATTTCAAATTTATTTTTCTTGCTTTTTGAGATGCAAAATCACTGGGAGAGGTGAACGATGACCGACGGCCTAACAGGGTCAAGTTGGTAGGGGGTTTTGAAGAGCAGATGTTAAAGAAGCGATGGGTGGTGAAATGGGTGATTTCCAATGTCAGGATTGACCAAAAAAAGCTTGAGAAGTCACGGCCTAAAAGGTATCTGTCGCTGGCGATTGGCAGAGTAAATGGATGAGGTATGATAGAGGTTTGGGTGAGAGGACTGAGTAGAGGAATATGGTGGTATCGGGGAAGGCCAACAACGTCGGGTACATGCCAAAAAGGTCGGAAATGGTTGTCACGCACAATAGATTTAGGTTGCAAAATTCGTAAAAAATTTGCCAAATCAAGAGCTCTCAAAGTTGGGAAAATACTTGAGAAATGATAAAATAATGATTCCGGCCGATTTTGGTGAGAAAATCGATCGGAATCAACTCCAAACATTCGGAACGAAAGAGGGGTGGAAATGATTTATATAAATATCGAATTTTGGGATTGAATTAGAGGTGAGTAATTTGAGACATGTAAATAACTATTTTAGCCTTTTATTGTTACAAGAAATTTAATTTGTTAATTTAGGGGTGTAAATTAGAATAAATGAAACTAGAGACACAAATTTTTTCTTTGGTCAAACTTTGGGTGGGAATATATATAAAATGTTTATACTAAATTTTGGCCTTTTTTGTTTTTTTAGGCCCCTTAGGCCAAGAAATTATATACTATTTTTATTTTTGTAATATATTTAAAAAAATTATAAAAAAATTTGGCCCTTTTTTACTCTATATTTTGGGGCCCTATTTAAACACAATGACCGAAAGAGCTGGGCTCCATGAACAGTATTCTTTAACAATGGACCTGAAATTTTTGGACTACACTAATTATATTATCCCCACTGCCCCACATCAATAGACATGAAGCTACTTCATCAATTGAAGAGACAATCCATTGCTTATGTTGGACTTGGACCTCATGAAAAAAAATATTGCTTTTTATGTTGTGACTTTTATAAGCCTGACCTTCTGAGTTCTGATACTCTTATGTACATCCTTCACGAGCTGAGCTTCAGATAATTGAAGAAGAAGAAGATGGTTGCTGGAAAAATCTCCAATTCGATCCTCCGCTTTTATCTTTTGCTCTTGATGATATGGTAGCTCACATCTCTCAATATTACTTGTTATAATTTATTTATATTGAGAATTACGTATATAAAAATCATGTTAAAATATTAACAAATTGAAAGCTTAGAGTTTTATCTAATCAGATTTCACTCTTTGCTTGTTTAAATGCAGCATGGCATTAACGGAGCCAGGGAGATCTTCAACACATCATCATGAAGAGCAAAATATTATGCTGGTTCATGGACATCATAACTCTATGCATGACACTCATCTCATCAGATGGATGCAACAAGCACTCAACACACAGGCTTCTTCAGCATCAATGATCTAGATTTGGGTAAATCAATCCTCATTAATTTCCCCACCAAAACTCCATTCCAGTTCTTGCCTAGAGAAGAGGCTGATCTCATTTCTTTCTCATTAAACCATCTCCCAAACATTCTCCAAACTTTCAAAGCCTCCCATGGCTTCCCAAAAGCCAAAACCATTGAAGAGACACTAAGACGTTGTAACTTCGATTCCGCAGAAGAAGAGCTCCTTTTCTGTGCTACTTCCTTAGAATCCATGCTTGATTTTACTCGTACCATGTCGGGGACGACGGATGATGATTTTAGAGCTATAGCCACAATTTATCTCACAAAATCATTAACCCGTAAGCAGAACTATACAATCACACAAGTTCCCATGGAAGTTTCAGTGCCAAAAGTGATGGTAGCATGTCACTTCTTGTCGTATCCGTATGCAGTGTTTTTCTGCCATGGCCTAGACAGTGAACATGAGAACAAATTGTTTAAGGTTCCATTAGTTGGTGAAAATGTAGATAGAGTGGAAGGTCTTGCTATTTGCCACTTTGAAACATCTACTTGGGACCCTAATTTCCCAGCATTACGCAAACTTGGCCTCAAACCGGGAGATCCAATATGCCATTTTTTATCTAAAAATAATATCATTTGGGTTCCATCATCTGCCACTACCCAGTAATAAATTGCTCCTATTATAGTGTGGTTTCCCTTGCTGTATTGCGTACCAAATAATAAATCAGCTGTAAAGAATGGCATATGCTATTCTGTGTTTGAATCATTAATTAATGTGAAGATAAATGTTCTTGTAATCGCTAAGTACTCTATTTATAAATGGGGATGAGATCTTTTAACTTAATTTTATGACTTAAATTGTTGACACCAATTTTCAATTGATGATCCCTAACAAACTAATGGTTTAAAAAACAGTGTTGACAATGGAGATAGAGTGAAAGCTCTTGCTATTTGTCACATGAAAACATCTACTTTAGAGTCTGATATCGTAGCATTTCGTTTGCTCGGCCTGAAACCAGGAAATCCAATATGTTACTTTCTACCTCTTGAGCAGGGATATAGCCACACTATAATATATAGATTCAACTGAACCCACTCAAACTTTAAAAAAAAAAAAAAAAAAAAGACTTTATATTTTATAATGTTTACAATTTTAACTCTATTTAAATTCATATTGGCCCACAAAAAATGTATATTAATAAAAAAAATGGCCTTAATATTTTATTTATGTTTTGAACCCACTTAATAAAAATCCTAGCTATGTCTCTGCTGCTGATCATCTCGTTTGGGTTCCATCATCTGCTATCCACTTTTAAATTGCTCCTGTTTTTCTACATGAATATTGTGGTTAATTTGGCTTGCTAATTGACTAGGTGGTTTTCATGTGTTCTATCTAGTATAAATTAACGTTGTGGAATATGCCTGCATACGACATGTCGGAGCTTGTGTACTAAAAAAATAATAAATCAATGAACAATAATAAATTGGAGATGCATATTAATTCTTGTAATCTCATATCATTGCTCGCAATAATATGATAAATATACAATAGAAGTTCCCCTATTTGTCATTTCTTCCCTACAGATAATTTTGTTTTTTTTCTTTTTTTCTTTTTTTTGGTGACTAAGGGGTTTACACGCATCTCGACTAATCTCCAAGACCCTAAAGTTAACGCAGTAATCATCCTTATTAGCAACTGAGGGAAATCGAACTTAAGACTTCTTAAGTAATACATCCAAAGATCTCTATCACCCCACCCGACCACTGGGGACTGGTTCAGATAATTTGTTTTGTTACCTTTGAGTTGCTCGCTTTATCTTATAGTTAGTATTCTTGTTTGTGTACGTAGTAATTAGTCATATCATTATATTTTAATTCTAGAAAACTCACATATGAATAATATGTATAATTATAGTTGTATTAATCTTACCTTGTTTTAATTATAAATTACCTATTGAAAATATATACTTATGGAGTGATGCAAAAATATATTTATGTTAATATAAGACGTTAATATAAAATTTTATCTTTTTTATCTCTTGATTAGTTTTTAATAGCTAAGGTATCCGGGCATAATTGTCAACCGAGCTCATAGAACACCCTATAAACCCAACAGACTAAGATAATTGTACAATCTCAGAGCCATAGAACATCCTACAAACCCAATAAACAAAAGTAATTGTACAATTATGATAGATATCTCTCATAGACTCGAACAAAAGACTCTTGGGTATAGCTAACTCTAGTGATTAAAGGGTTTGTCATCCGACCACAAGGGAAGAGATCTCTTGATTAGTTTTTGTGTGTCTGTGTGATTTTTTTTTTTTCTTGTGCATTATGGCAAGCATAAGGTAGAACACAAAATCTAAACAAAAAAAAAAAATGATGAGCTATTTTTTTTTTTACAAAAAGAAAAATTAAAATTTTGAGACAAATAATTCAATTAGAATTTAAAAATCTAAAAAAATAAATAAATAAATAAATAAAGAACGTATTGTATAGAGAAGTTCATTTATTTTGATCCAGACAATAACATTTTCCACTAGATTACTTCTAATTATTTTAATATTTGATTATTATACTTTTTCATTCAAAGAATCAAATATCATTTCACGCTAAAGTGACCAAAAAAAAAAAAAAATTATGATTTTAATTCTAGATTTGTCAAAATCATACCATTAAATTATGGACAGATATAATAAAACATTTTTTTTTTTTAAATGGTACATGATTAAACATATTTAAATATTTTTACCTAAAACTTTTGTCATAACTCATGAAATAAGAGTAGTGTGGCTCATCTCATGATGCTAACGGGCCTGTAGGCCCATATCAATACATAAATCTTAATATATCACAATTGAGACAATGACAATTTTCTCGAGATTACTTTTAATTGTTTTAATATTAGGAATTTAATAAAACTGTTTTTTTTTTTAACGGTAAATGATAACATAATTAAATAATTTCACCTAAAACTTTTGTCATAATTTATGAAATAGGAGCATAGTGGTTCATCTCATGATGCTAATGGGCCTCTAATATAGGCCCATATCAATACATAAATCTTCGTACATCATAATTGAGACAAGGACATTTTCCACGAGATTACTTCTAATTACTTTATTTATTCAATTATTTTTATAATTTTCATTCAAAGGAATCAACTATTATTTCATCATAGTGAGTAAAATATATATAAATATTCTTATTGACAAGGTCTATGATATCATTGTGGTATTGTTGACGTAGCAATTCATAATTGATACCACAAGGCAGTGCATACATGAGAAGTACCGATCACATCTAATTTCAACATATAGGGCGAGAGAAAAAATATCCGAAAGTGTTGTAATTTCACTAGAGAGTGGTAGTATCACAGTTATATTCTAGATTTTTTTTTTTTTTATCGGACAATTATGGGAAGAGTGAAATGTGAAGGTAAAAGGACAGCTTTAATTTATTATTTTAATTAGGCCGAACGACTTATGCATACCCTAGGTTTATTGAAACGATAAGTTGATACCCAAAAGGTTTTGAAACGACAAATAGGTATCTTCCGTCATGTTCTGTTAGTGATTTTCTTTTGATAATAGTGAAAAGACTAAAATGCCCTTGAAAGTTTAATATTTTAGTTTTTTATAAATTTAAAAATTTCTAAAAAACCCCCTAGGTTTGCTAATTTGACTAAATACCCCAATATATAAAAATTTTATAAAATAACAAAAACACCCCCGCCACCCGCAGTGCTGATTCCCGCCACCACCGTCGGAATCTGGCCGAAAAAATTGCGTTACGACACAGACCTATCAGATCTGTGTCGTAACGCGTAGATCTGGCATTTTCTAGCAAGATCCGTGGCTGATCTGGCCGAAAACGGTCAGATCTGGCCGTCGAGGCCGAAATCTCGTCGGAAAATTGTGTTACGACAGAGAACCTTTGGATCTGTGTCGTAACACTTTGATCTGGCATTTTTCGGCCAAATCCGTGGAGGATATGGCCGGAAAAGACCAAATCTGGCAGTCGAGGCCGAAAAAGGCCAGACGTAGATCTGGCCTTTTCCGGCCAGATCCATGTACGCATCAATCCGACGGGTCTGTGTCGTAACACAATTTTCCGGCCAGATCCCGGCGGTGGTGGCCAGAATCTGACACTGTAGGTGACGCGGGTGTTTTTGTTATTTTACAAAATTTTTATATATTGGGGTTTTTAGTCAAATTAGCAAACCTAGGGGGTTTTTTAGAAATTTTTAAATTTATAAAAAAACTAACATATTAAACTTTCAAGGGCATTTTAGTTTTTTCACTATTATCAAACGAAATCACTAACAAAACATGACGGAAGGTACCTGTTTATCGTTTTAAAACCTTTTGGGTATCAACTTGTTATTTTGATAAATCTTGGGTATGTGTAAGTCGTTCTCCCTTTTAATTAAAGAAAACCCCTAACAATTTCGTGTCATTAATACCATAATATTAATGCCTCTTGAGCATTTATGATATTATAGAGTGGGTCGTTTGAACATGAATTTGCTTTGGATGATGCTCACCACAAGATGTATACTTTCGGCCATTATTGATTTGATTTTGCCATAAAGCTGAAGCCCATTCAATTACCATAATCGAAAGAGCTGGGCTCAGTTGACACTGTGCTTTCAATAATGATCCCAATTCCACATAATGGACCTATAACTTTTCGGTGCTAGGCCTCAAACCGGGAAATCTAGTGTGCCATTTTTTTATTTTTTTTTATGATCGAGAATATTCAAGTCAGTATACGTATACCTTAACTGATCTCCTGAAACTTTGAAACTATCGACCAAGTAAAAGTTTTGATAAACACCCTTAATAGGGGCTGCAGGGACTCAAAACATCAAAACTCAGAAAACTATATTAGATTCTCTTTTTATTCATTTACCATTAAAATGACTCAAACTTAGGAGATCATGTTAGATCCGCCTTTATTTTTTTACTATCCGGTTACTCAATGGTGGTTTACACTTTAAATTGTGGTTTCGATTGTTGGTTAGATGGTTTTTGCTTCGTATTTTTATATGGATTGATGTGTAATAAATAATAAATCAATGAAGAATGGCGTGCTATCCGGTACTGTTTGAATCACTATATAATAATATATGTCATACATATTATGGCTATAGGTATACTCTAATTATAAAATCTGTTTATATATACATATATATCCAAGGATAATAGAAGCCTGCTTATTCACTTCAGCCAACTTAATTTGTGTGTAACAGATTTAATTTATAGTTTTAATTTTACTATTCATTTTTCAGTAACTTAACTAGTATAGTTCTTCGTTGATTCTCCAAGAATAATTTATCTGTAGTTAAATTAGTATCAGGGCTAGCTGCTGAGGTTTTGGATTATGCTGGGTTCGAATTAATGTATGCGTTAGTTGTAGTGATAATAACCAGATCTTATTTATTATTGTCTTACACGCCTCAAAATGAGAAGATAGGGCACAAGTACAATACAACATAACTTAAGATAGTTATTAATTTCATCATCTTAATTAGCTAGTTTGCGGTGACCTTCTCGATCGGATTATCCTTAATACCAAACTGATTGGCTTCAGATGGAGATGATTCCTCATCATCACAGTGCCTTGGGCTTGACTCACCATTGCTAAAACTAGGCTTCTCTTCTTTAGCATTAGCATTGTTTTCTGCTTCTGCATGGTTATGAACGAGATCTTCTGCAGGCATAGGCTGCTCTTTCTTCACCTTCTTCCAATACCCTCCAGCCTCTTTTCTCCCTTCTTTAGGCTTCTTTTTAATCCATGCATATACACCGTAGGGCTGAGACAAGTCATCAACAAAAAGGTTTTCAGCGTTAAGATTGGCGCCCTTCTGATGAATATTAGCAAGAAGCTCTTGAAAAATCTCAGGCATAGGCTCCTCTTTCATCATCTTCTTCCAATACCCTCCAGCCTCTTTTCTCCCTTCTTTAGGCTTATTTTTAATCCATCCAAATACACCGTAGGGCTGAGACAAGTCATCAACAAAAAACTTTTTAGCGTTAGAATTGGTGTCCTCCTGATGATTTGCAGGAACAAGGTCCCTAATAACTTCTGCCATAGGCTGCTCTGTCATTGCATTCTTCCGATACTCTCCAAGCTCTTTTCTCCCATCAATGCTTCCTGCAAACTGCCCAAAATGCCAATCAATTAGGATTCAATAAATATCATTTCATAAATCTTTATAACAATAAGAGAAAGAGAAATTAAGTTAATTAGTTTTGGTAATTACCAGAAGCAATAGTAGTAATGAGAGTATAAAGAAAGCAAATAAAAGCTTCATAATCTTGACGTTAAGAGATGATTGAGTAGGGAGGTTTTGATGATCTGCAAGCTATTTTTCTCTACCATATTTATACACAACACTTGGTGGATAAAGCTAAAAGGATATAATATCACTCCTCCACCCAACTTTAATTTAAATTATTGAAGTAAACCGATCGAAAAAATATTGTAATTTGATAATATTATCATTATTCTAATCTGAGAATAAGTTTTGGAATGAAGTTTATAATTTGGGGATGCACCTAAAATAACTGATTACTTTTAGAAAATTTATGGAAGTGATTCAAGTTAATAAAGCAAGAAAAACCCTACAAGACAGAAAGCAAAATTATTGGTGGAGTAAACGGCAAATTCCACCTCAAAATCCTATCCTAAGTCTCGTTTATTTTAGATTTTTATCTTTAAAATAATATTATTAATAATTTTTAAGATAATGAGAGTATAATTAGCATAAGGTTCTTAACCCTAAATTAATAAAAAAATTTAACTCCTTAAATTACTAAAATTATAAAATTAACCATCTTATTTTAAAATTACTTTAATTACACCCTTAATGACTGTACACCATCTCGGTTTTCATCAGATTTAGGCTGTTTCTAATGGCGGCAAACCCCTTGGTCACCTCCATCACCTTCCCCATCGTCTGTCATCCAAAACCCCTCTAGTTCTCGACTCATTGGGCCCTCCAATCGTCGACGCCATCAGGCTTAGGTTTTCATCATTCTTCGCTAGATTCCAGTCGATTCATGCAACGAAAATCCAATTGGACATCACTACTACAACCAGCGTCTCCAAATCTACAAAACCCTTATGTCCCCAGCAACCGTGTAATGGCCATTCGTTGTTAGAGACCAACGAAAACCAGTCGCATGTGACAACTGTCGTGGCTGGCAATCGACGAGTGATGAGGAGTTATGAAGGGTAAGGTTTTGTAAAAGGGAGGGTGAGGGTTTGAATGGTGGTGACAAGGGTGATTTTGGATGGAAGAATCGTCGAAAAATGGTGGAAAACGTCGACGGTGATGTTGGCTAACGTGCGCTGGAGCTTTGTTAAGGACAGTGATCTATTAATGTGTGTCTCCTCTGCGAAATGATCAATTTACCCTTAAACTGTTATATCTTACAATTTTTTATTATTTTAAAGATATAAATCTAGAATAAATGAAACTTAAGGTACCAACTTAGGATTTCATCAATCCTTTGGTGGGTATATGTCGGTTACTCTTATTGATATAAAGAAGCTGATTTTATGCCATCAAAAGTGATTTATGCCTGCAATAATGTTGATAAGACAGAAAGCAAAATTATTATTTATTTCTGTTTCGTACAGACATGAGATTACAATATTCTTCTACAAATTAAGTCAATTAAAATGACGTAATATGATAATTATATATAATCCACTTCTGATAATCACAAAACAATTACCTTGCCTTTAGGTCCTATATTATATGTGTGTCTCCTGCTTCGATAATGAACAGCTATTTTGAAGAAGAAAGATGGCTGCAGCTGGAATAATCTCCAACTTGATCCTCCTCTTTTATGTTTTTCTCTTGATGGTACAATTAAATCTCATCTCTTAATATTCAATGTACAGAACTACTAGCTGTAAGTAATTGTATCTAATAAGATGTCACTATGCTTGTGTAAATGCAGCATGGCATTGGAGCTAGGGCGATCAGAACTCAACGTCTTGATGATGATGAAGAACACAATATTCTGCTGGTGAATGGACGCCATTACTCCATGCATGGTGATCATCATTCGTCATCTCATCATATGGCTTCAGAATTTGGGTTATTTAGAATGAATGATCTAAGTTTAGGTAAAAAAATGCTTATTGAATTCCCCCAGAAAGTCCTTTCTTCTTCCACTCGGTTCCTCCCCAGAGAAGAGGCTGATCTCATTCCTTTCTCGTTAAACCAACTCCCAAACATTCTCAATATTTTCTCAATCCCCCATGACTCTCCAGAAGCCGAAACCATCGAAAGCACACTAAGAGTTTGTGAGTCGGAGCCCCTCCAAGGAGTTAGCGTTTTCTGTGCTACTTCCTTAGAATCCATGGTTGATTTTGCTGGTAACACATTGGGGACATATCATTTAAGAGCTACAACCACAACTGCTCTCACAAAATCATTAACCGGCCGTAAGCAAAACTATACAATTTCAGAGGTGCCCAAACAATTTCAGAGGTGCCCAAGAAGGTTCCAGTGCCAATGATGGTAGTATGTCACATGATGTCTTATCCTTAAGTAGTTTATTTCTGCCATAGCCTGAAAGGTGAGAGTGAGAACAAGTTGTTTAAGGTTCCAATGATGGGTGACAATGGAGATCAAGTGGAAGGTCTTGGTATTTGTCACTTGAAAACATCTAATTTAAATTTGGACCTGAACAACCCAGGACTCCGATTGCTTGGTCAGAAACGGGGAGATCACTTTTGCCATTTTCTACCTGCAAATCATGTCGTTGGGTTTCATCATCTTAAATTAATTGCTCCTATTCGATATATCTTGATGTTGTATGAATTAATGTTGTGTAATATGCTTGCGTACGACATGTCGGAGCTTGTGTACTAAGTAATATCCCAGTGAATAATGGCATGCATCCATGTGTGTTATTGATCTTGTTATTAATATCAAATTATTCCTACCAAATTAATGTATATTCAATAGAAATATTCTAAGTAGAAGGGTTTTGACACTTGAATAAGAGAATTATATCATCATCAGTATATTTATTCAACAAAATCTTATATCATATAGTATATATTATCCAACAAAATCTTATATCATATATTACATATGAAGTCCTTTAGTAATCCCCTTTTTTTTTTTTCATAATGATTGATCAAATAAATATATATGGTATCTCCATATCACTAGAGAGCCACATGATATATATGAGATTTGAGAAGAAAAAATGATAATATATGTACATCTTATAAGAGTAAACGACTTTTTCCCACCCAAGGTTTGCCTTAATGACATTTTCCCACCCAAAAAGCTTCAAAATATCAATTTACTACCCAAAATTTATATTCTATTTACTACCCAAAATACACTTTCCAATTCGCCGACAAACAAAGAGCAAACCCACTCCAGGCCGTAAGGGCTTTTGAAGAGAGGATGTCGGTGAGTCGTTTGGTGGTGGCAGTTTGGATTTTAGTGGTCAAGATTGGTCAGAATTAGACTTGGGAGGGGCGACTATGCCTTACACAAATCGCTCGATTGCCGGCGATTGGCAAGATCAGAAGAAGCAAGGTTTGAGGGGTTTTTGCTAAGTGATGATAAAAGAAGAGAATGGTGGTGGTGTAGAGTCGTAACGATGTCGGAATTGGTCGGTGATTGGTTGGAATATAAACTTTGGGTAGTAAATTGGTATTTTTTTTAAATGTATAATAATATGCTTATCTTAGGGTTAAACTCCTAACACGTTCTCCTTTCATTCTATGTATAATAATTTGCTTATCTTACATAGTGTTTAATTAAGTGGATAATCTCATAATCATGAATACATTTAAAATTTCAATATGATTTGAGAAGTGATGAATATCTAGGACTGTTGACTGATTTACATTTGACTGATTTTGACCATTAAATCTCAATCTTACTCTTATTAATAATTATTAAAATAATACATTTTTGAAATAATCTCTCTTTTTCCATACCTAATTAAAAATTAAAATCAATTAAATGAAACATTTAAACCAAAATCTTTTAACACAAGAGTTTTATATATTTTACAACTAAAATCCAATCCAATTAAACAACTAATTCATATGATATGTATAAGTTGGTAGAAATAATAATCATCCACTTGTGGCCGGATCGATAATTTTTTTTTTTTTTTTAAGGTATGGTAATTAACCACCTCTCAGTACAACTCAAACTCAAGACCTACTATGCATAAAGAAAATGATCTTACGAGGGAAATAATTATTATCAATAGTCAGTGATTTTGCCAATGAAAGGAATTGACATTGAAATGCCAAGAGGTCTAACCATTTTCACAACCTTTGATCTCTCGAATAACTAATTTCAAGGATGGATTCCACCAGAATCTACTCAAAGTGCTTTTAACTTCTCTTGTAACAACCTAACAGGTTACATTCCATCGTGATTGAAAAATATTTGAGAGAGCTTGAATCTTTAGATCTCTTCAGAAATAAGCTTCTTGGTGAAATCTAAAATCTCTTTCTGTGTTAAACCTTTCATACAACCAACTTGTAGGGGCCAATACCTCAAGGAAAACAGTTCAATACATTCGAAGAGAATTCCTATATTGGAAACTTGGGATTATGTGGATTGCCACTGTTAGAAAAATGTAATATATAACCATTTGGCGCCTAAACCAACACCTGCATTCCATGAAGAGACAGATATTATGAGCTGGTTTGATTGGAAAATCATCATGATGGGTTATGCCAGTGGACTGGTGATCGTTTTCTCGACTGGAAGACCTCGACGGTTTGTTGGAATGGTTGAAAATGCAGAGGTAAAAGGCATGCAGAAGGCTCAACAAGATGCATATGAAAAGGAAATTAGCGAGTTCATGCAAAGGTTTCTTTAATCAGGTGAGTATTCCAGTACAGTAGAAACTCAAAGAATGCATTCGGATTCTTTCCTCAATTGAGTGCTTGACAATTTCTAAAAGCATAATTACTTAAGTTTGCATGTTATATTTATTTTAATAATTTGTTCTTCTTTTCAACTATTACAGATCGAACTGATCATGATCAGTTTCAAAATTTCTGCAACTCACAGAAGGAAATCCAACAACTGATACACAGAACAAATAATTTAATATCCAACTGTTGACAAAAACAGACAAGAAAGAACAGAAGACATGAGTTTAAATATTCTAGCTATGTGGCTGACTTACTCTTGTCTTGCTATGTGGCTGATTTTCCAGCATCAGTTGTTGCCTATTTATGCATGAGGAGCGGCGATAGTGCTCTGGTGTTTGAGTGGAGGCAGAATTGGCTTGTGCTTTAAGGGATGGCGGTGGTTGCCGTAAAGGGCGATAATATCATCAAATGGAAAGGGCGGTCACTATAGTTTCTTATAACAGAAGGGTGTAACTGTTATTATGGAAACCTAAGGGGAATAAATTAAAAAACTCCTAACATATACGTAAACTTAGAAATTAAATTAATACCTATCCCTTCAAAACCCCTTCCCTCTTTGTAAAATTATCTGAAATTGTTAATACAATTGCTTTGAAGAGATGGCAGCTTCAGCTATCTCTGCTTCTTTAAGCTTCTCTTCTTCTTCTCTCAACAAAACCTCCGTTTCATTTCTCTTGCCCAGGTACAATCCCACATATCCCATCTGGGTTTACTTCCATAATCACTTCACTAACTTCAAAAATTTTACTTTTACTCGTTGCAATTAACTTTTTTTTTTCTTCAATTTTTTTGGGTTACAAGCAGAAACTCTGCCAGGTCTATTAGAGCGTCTGCGTTGCCAAGTCCGTACGGTGATTCTTCAACGACAGGTAATTTTTATCTTGTGCATTTTGATAATTTAAACTATCATCAAAATTATTTTTTTGGGTTTGACCCGGTTGATGGTTAAGCTTGTTTTATTATGTATGATTCATTGGAGTTCCTTAGTGCCTAATTTGAATGAAATTGAATCTTGTTTTGGCTTGAGTTCATTCGGTTGGGTTTATTTATTACTAAAGCTTGTGCTTAATATGATCATATAGCCAGTTCTTATGAGCCATTATATGGTTGTGCGTGGGTAAATAGGTATGTATATGTATGCACGTGAAGTAATTTGGAGTAAAATGTTTTGTTTCATCCAGGATTATCAAGTAGAAGTAGTGGGTTGCCTCTAAAATTCGACCAGAAGGATCTTCGCGGTACTGAACAGAGGTGTGTTGCTTCAGCCCTTTTGCTTGGATTGTTTTGTTTAGTTTTCTATCATTTTGTTTAAATGTGTATCTATGTGTCTACATGTGCAATTGATTTGCTGGTTTTTGTTGTGGTTTATTCCAGTTTATTTAATGCTTCAAGTGACAATTTTGAGTGGAGAATGTATCTTTTTAATTTGAAGGTGCATTGTTAATAAAAGTACATATTTGGGCTATGCTGCCACTACATTTGTTAGCCATAGCAATATTTTTAGAACTAATTAGCTCAATTTTGTAAAGAACGAATTGGCCATGGGGGAAAGCATTTCAGCTATGAGATGGTTGTTTTCGTCTATTTTTAATGTATCAGTTGAAAGCATATCTCATAGAACAATGCGCTGTTGATTATTTCACTATGACCACCGTTCTTAAATTACAGATGCATATGGTGTTGTGTAGTTTCTTTGTTGCTTTCTGTTATTTTAATTATTTGATACCTGGTGGATATAGAATTTTATAACATTGTTTTATATATGCAGTTATGGTGCAATAGTAGCCCAAAAGGGGAATCCACCCATAATGCCAGCAGTAATAACTCCTGGGGGTGCAATGGACCTCTCAACCATATTATTTAGGAATCGTATAGTCTTCATCGGACAGCCAATCACCTCACAGGTTGCTCAAAGAGTTATAACTCAGCTTGTGACTCTGGCAACCATTGATGAGGATTCTGATATTTTGGTGAGGTTTCACATCTATTTTCTTATTCACTCTTGTAATTAACCTATTGATTTATAATCCGAATTTCCAAAGCCTACTTCTAAAAGTTTGTGTACTGTGTCCTGAACCTTGTCAGCTGTATTTGAACTGCCCTGGTGGAAGCACATATTCTGTGTTGGCAATTTATGATTGCATGTCTTGGGTAAGATTTTAAATTTTTTTATTATTTTTGGCTATTTGTTCACATCTTGTTTTTTTCTTTCACTTTTTAGCTTATTAGTAGTTTCATGATTATCTGATGTTTAGTTTGACCTTCCAAGAGTTGGGAACAATCTTCATATGAAATAAAATCTCTAAAAGCCCCTATATTTCAATGGTCGTGGCCTTCCATTTAGGAAAAAATTGTTGACACCTAAAACCAATGATAGTATTGTGATTATAATTTGAGGTAATAAATTCTTCATAACAAATCTTTAAGTTTATAAAACAATTTAATGCAAGTAGACATTCTAAGATGTTAATATATAGACTAGATTTGACCTTAGTGGTACAGCATTAAAATATCTTTGTGCATGTCCCATTATATACTCATATTATTTTTTCCTTTCATTTTCTTCAATTTTTTGGCTTCACAAGTATTCAGTGATGCATTATCTTCTCAGATAAAGCCGAAGGTTGGTACTGTCTGTTTTGGAGTAGCTGCAAGCCAAGGAGCACTTCTTCTTGCTGGTGGAGAAAAGGGGATGCGCTATGCTATGCCAAATGCACGTATCATGATACATCAGCCGCAAAGTGGATGTGGGGTATGAGTTGACTTAATGGTTTTGTTATTGCAAAGTTATTATGAGGTTGAGATGATTTAAAATTGTATGGATATCTCATGATATGCTTGCATGAGAGGAATGGAGGTCGTCGTAACTAAAGTTTTTGCTTTTGAATGACACACTTTTCTTTTTACTTTGGTTGTGGTCACATAATTTAAGTAAAACTGGTACTTGTTCTTTGCTTCTGTTCTCTCTTAATGAATCTAGCATTGAGGCACACATAACTGAAAGTAAATGAAATCTGCCTGAAGGATTGAAAGAATTTAGATTAGTGGTATGTAATGGAACCTCAAAACTCAAACAGGGTAGCGTGACTCAAACAGAGAGTTTGAATCATGCAGCTCCTTAAGCACTAGTTGCCATGTGACTTTTATGCAGGTTGCCTTAACTCTCAGTATAGTCCCCTTGGTTTTACCTACTTTCATAAATTTTTTATTATACTTCATAAGACACTGCTCATGTGTTGCTGTTTTCTCATTTATATCCATCTTTTCCTTTTTCCCCTATACCCTATTGGTGCATGAGCTTGTGTGAATATTCAGTACACTAGTATTTTGCTAATTTTAAATGTTGCATTACGATTATATATGTCAACTAGTGCATTGCAACAAGTTGGTTATTTTAATGTCTGAGAAATTGCAAGTCAGTTAAAACTATAGAGTTGATTGTATGTTATATGTTTTAGGGTCACGTGGAAGATGTGAGGCGCCAAGTAAACGAAGCAGTTTTATCTCGCCATGTCAGTATCTCTTTCCCTCTCTGTTTCATGCTCTTTAGACCTTGAAAAATGTTCAGAATGAGTTAATTCTTGGTAATTTGGTTCTCTCAAACTTTAAAAGCGAAACTTTTCTCATTATAATTCAAGCTACAAAAGGGAATTGGTTTACATGCCCAACTAATTCCCCTGTATGCCTTGAAATTCAGAAATGATGTCATTTAAGTTCTATTTTATTGTGATACGGCGCTATATTCTGCTGTTTTTTGAATGTAATACACACCTAAGCCAAATGTCGCACAAGTTTTTTCTAGCTTTGAGTGGATGATTTATGCACAGTTCTGTGCTTTTGCTCATATCAACACTGCTGAATTAAGAGTTGTGCTCAACAATAATTTTTTATTGATGTGCTCTTTTCCTGGAAATTTGCTACAGAAAATTGACAGAATGTATGCTGCCTTTACTGGCCAACCTCTTGAGAAAGTGCAACAATACACTGAGAGGGATCGTTTCCTGTCTGTGGCTGAGGTATGTTACTTATCCTGATTTTTCTCAAACTAACAATAACATGCTGACTCCCTATGTCAAAAGATCCCAAATTAATGGATTGTCCTTATGAGAAGGCTACTATTTGATAATTTGATCTACGATGCCGTCTAGGAAATGCTGTAGTTTGAAACATCCACCTCCTCATTCATTTTTGTGAGACCTTCGTGTAGTTGGAACCTTATACGATGATGATTTGATTGCATTTGGAAATGTAACCAGCAAGGTGAAGTATGTAATAAGGTTAAAGGCCTAAATCAGAATTATAGAACTTGGTATTTGATGCATTTACGTTTGCCAAAAATGGGCATATTATTGTCATTAATGGGATCTTGTGTTGATTTCATTAGTTTCTTAATATTGTACACATTGTCTCACAGCCCATGTATGCTCGAATTCATGATATTAATTCTACCTGCAGCCACTGATTTTGTCATACTTCTTTTGTTGCCATTTCACAGTCTATGGAGTTTGGCCTTATTGATGGCATCCTGGAAACTGAATACTGAAAGCGAAATCGTATGAGCTAAGTTTTTCAATTCTATTGGAATTCGATAGAGCAATTTGTTGTCCTACTGATCCCATGATAAATGAAAATTGTAATCATGTCCCATGAGTGATATATAAAATTTCAAATATCGCTATTTGAAGGTTTTGGTTTTGATTTTGCAATCATGGGTGTTCATTGTTCTGGGTTCTTTTGAGAAATGTTATATAACTTACCTACTATAGCTTCTTTCACTTGATACTTAAATTCACTCATCCTGATTTATCAGATGCTGATCAGCAACTGCTTCAATGAACAATAACTTTCGTCTGATTTGCATTGAACAATTTTACTATTACAAAATTCAGATTTACCACTGCTGTGTTTACAATAATCTCTCTTGAGTTGGATGAAACTAAAAATTGTCTGTACAACTTAATGCATTGCAGATAAAACTATATGCACAAATTCTCTTGTAGGAGATTTATGACAAAACAACTCAATGGCTACATTACATATACATATATAGGGTGATCGACGACTGAGAGATTGAAACTTTTATTGTCTAATCTAAATTATGAGGGCCAAATATAATATGCTTAATTAGAGACTTAAGAAAATAAGATGGTAGAGTTCAAAAGAAAATGCAGTCGATGACCTATATCTCAGCACCAGTTATTGTAAGTCGTCGGATTTTGCAGAACGCAGCAGTTCATTTACCTGTAGGATGATGGAGCAATTCAGGAGGGAAAAGGAAAAAAAAAATCTTTGAAATTCAATTACCATTTTTTATTTCAACATTCATCCTCACTTTACAAAATTCACTAGAAAGAGATTAACATTTCAACTAATGTAACAGCTTTAGAGATATGTTGTTTCGGCGTATCTGAATTTCAAAAGATGAGCAGATATGCTAATCATAAGAAGTTAAAACCAATCATTCAATCAAAAAATGCTCCCATGACTTTAATCAAAGCTGTGAGAGCAGAGCAGAAAACACCAAAAATGGTAATTTTGCAGATTAAACTGAAAATCCATCAAACCAGTTCCTGTAGTTTATGAATTAGCTAGATATTGCAAATTTATGGGTGGACTTTGTTAGATTACCATCTAACTTTCATTCTCCTTATCTGGATCATTAGTTCCCTGATATAATTGATAGAAGACGTGAACAATCCGAATCAAAAGGTAAAGAACACTTACCATAATTTTGCTGGACCATTGTGAATCTGTATATAGCCTTTATAAGGGAACCATATTTTATGGAGTTCAAGGATCCCATATGTCTGTAACAAAAAGAGACCCACAATTAAGTCACGTGAGAGCAAATTAGACGACATTGAAGCAATTTTTTTTTTTTTTTTTTTTTTCAATTACTAAAATGCCCTGATGACAAAGTGATGAAGGCAAATCTCAGCAAGAAACGGGAAAGTTCATTAACCAATGGATTCTCAGCTCACATTTATCAATCACTGAAGCAAAAATGTAGGGGAAATCAATCTGCAAGGGAAGTCCAGTTAAAATTGGCTGCTATTCTTAGCATTCCTAGTACTCTCGCAGATATGAACCAAACCAAGTCTGAAACATGGCACATATCCTATATCTACACTCATGCACTTGCTGTGAGAGAGCTTGAACAAAAATAACCCTTAAACGCACCAATATGAACTTCAAATACAAAAGAACAGCTAACTGTTGAGTTTCTACGTGTGCTTTGAACAGCTAGTCATCATGTCGTCAACAAAATTGAACCAGATTTCCCTGGTGAATAGTTTATTTACTAACTAATATTTTATGGTCAATTCCTTGGGATCACATAGGCAAACAGATAGGGGACATATAGGTTGTAGAAAATGTGTGTATGCTCCTATAATCTTTCTGAATACATGAAATAAAAAGAAACTAGTCTCAATAAAAGAAATCCTAGCACAACAATGTAAATAGATTGATTGCAAACACCAATAGCCGCAAGTACACAGTTTCTTTGCACTAAGCTATAATCATAGAAACAATCTCCAAACAAACTTTTTAATCTGTTTCCCAATTTACTTCATCAAAATAAGAAGACATTTTCATAAAACTATATCATGTAGAAACATGAAAGCCCTTCATCAAATACATACCATAACAGAAATGAATGCCCAAGATGGAAACTGCCCTAATAAGTGCAAGACAATTAAGAAACCTGAATTATTTTCCTGATGCTGAACTTTATAAAGTAATTGCATAATTTAGTGTATTACTGATTTTTATTTTTATTTTTCCTGTTTACGGGCTAGTTACAGTACCCCAAAACTTCCTCAGCCAAATGGAAATACAAGGGCCTAACTATATAACTTGTTTAATCATCTTTTCAAGTAAGAACACTCACATGATCTCTGTATATCGAATTCTCCAAGCAGGGAAACCTAGATGGCATCTTGCTGGTCCATAAACTAATAAGAGATCAGGTTCTGGTCCTCTGCAACCTGACAGTAGAAAAACATCAGTATCAGAAAGTGAGATATAAAAGTTTAAAAAGAGATAATTTCTTTTAACCAACAAGTAGATCTGACAAGTATCACAAACCGACGGCTGTTAGTGCCTCAGTCATGCGAGCTTCAGTAAAAATTTTCTCTTCCTGAATTTTGTCTGAATCACCCAATTTCAAATACTTCCTAAACAGTAAGTTAGCTGCTTTGGCCACTGCTTCCTTTCCATCAGAGAATGAAGCAAACTCCACACTAATATGTTTATGGTCAAGAAGTGGATTGCTTTGATCAGCTTCCTGAACACAGTAGATAACAAGTTCAGAGTTTCGGAATCAGTGCTTACATCCCAACAGCATAAGTGTACTTTGAAGATAATGCAAATGAGAGTAGCATTATAGCTGATACATAAAAGCTAAATGAAACACCCAGAAGGAATGGCTGTGTAAAGTACTTGTAAGTAAGCAAACCTGTACCCCTAATATCAATATCTGAAGTCAGAAGTATATTTAACACAGATGATACTTCATATAACAACATAGCTCACTCCAACACTACAAAGATAATAAAGGTCTCAGAAGCTATAAGGGTAGATTAATAAAAGGCTCATCTGCCTCACAGTATCTCTACATATGAGGAAAGTCTATTTGTGAATGGTAAATTAAGGAAGAAAAGGAAATTATGTAATCATACTACATTTACAGTATCTTTGTACCTCAAAAACTGTTGCATTATTCAATTTCACCAGAATGGAATCCTTTGATTTCTTCAGTATTCCTATGAGAAACAAAAACATTAGGAATTATACTATAATCTCAGGGGTGATAAGAATGGAATACCCAGTGAAACATGCTTGCAGTTACATTATCACAGAGTAATTCCGATGAATGTCAACTATTATGAAACCCAGGCATTCTTACCTTCAGTATCATAGAGGCAAACACGTTTTACACCAAGAGCCACCAACCACTGCAAAAGCTCAATAATTTTCGGAATCTGATAAGCTTCTTCACTTTCTACCACTACGGCCAGGTACCGAAGCTTGTTTATATCAAAGCCTTCGTATCTTTTCAGTATTCCAATGGAGATAAGATAGCTTTCTAAGGCACAGACTATTCCCAGTGCAAAGTACCATAAGCTGACAATAAAATGTAGAAAATACCACAATACATGAAGCCCTAGATTGCCAATCTGCAAGAAGCTTAAAAACCAAAATGAAAATCTAATTTAAGTTCAACCAAAAGATGTGACACGATCACACAGATCAAATAACCCCAACCAGCCATTCCATGCTGAGAAACAGTTTAATATAAGACCAATTTGTTAACTCTAAAACAACTAAAAAAAACACTAATTTAACTGTCAATTCCTCTAGACCAGCTTAATACAGAAATTTATGCACTTACTTGAGCAATGAAAGAGTACACCTTATGCATTCCGTCTCTAAAATCCATCAAACTAAACAAAAATAATGACGAAAACATTAAATCAAACAAGAAAGGATTGGAAAAAAAAATACAAAACGAATAAATAAATTGAATTACTTACACCTTTACCAAAAATTCAGAGCAAGTGAATATATACTGAAACAACCGCAAAAGGTATTAGAAATCTTTCAATGTGAATGACCCAGTTGAGATATGGCCACAAGAAGCAAAACCCAGATACAGAATCGAAAACCCAGAACGGGAAAAGGAATAAGAGTGGCTCTATAGGAATTTTATAAATTATGTGAACTGTTTTGAAGGCTTTAAGGAAGCAATTAGTGTAGGAAGGTAAAGTTCTGTGCAAAATGAAGTGATTAATTTGCACTGGTCCACTGGACACACGAATTTAATTAGTTGTTTAATTGAAACATTTGATTTTATAAATAAATTTGAAATAATTTAATTAGATTATAAGTATTGCCAAATCAACACCTGGCATCTGATTAAACTTCAGTAATTATAATTTTGGCCGAACGACCTGCACCCACCCATAGTTTGCTATAAAGACAGTGTAGTACCCAAAAAATTTGAAAACGTCAATTACCTCCCTTTCGTACAAATCTGTTAGTAAAGTTCGTTTAAAAAAAGATAATATGGTAATTTTATATCCAACAAAAAAAATATAACATTCTGCATTCATTGTCCATTTTCTCTTTTTAATATTAATTTTATAAAAATCTTTCTTCTCAATTTTAATTATTTTATTTTTATAATTAATTTTAATTAAAATTTTGTCTTCGTCTTCTTCATCTCTCGCCAGAACCACAGGACAGCAACCAGCAAAAATGACCAAAGCCCAAAAAAAACCTCACTCAAATCACCAAATGATTCAATGCAAAAAAATCTCAAAAAACCACTCTCAAACACTCAAAAGAACCAAAACATGCAAGGCATAGAAGGTTTGGAGCAAAACCTCAAACAAGTGGTATGTCAAAACTTGGAAAATCAATCATCAATGCTAAAACCGATTAGAAATCCCCAAAAATCAAATAAAAACACAAAAAAAAAAAAAGAACACAAACCCTAAAACAGAAAAAGTCAAAATTACCCCCACAAAAATGATAGAATGTCAATAATACCATTTTAATTAACAGATTTACTAACATATTTGGACGGAAAGTGGGTATTTATCATTTTAAAACTTTTTTGGATACCAATTTGTCTTTAAAGCAAACTCTAATTAGGTGTAAGTCGTTCCCCCTTATAATTATTTATGATAAAAGAAATTAAATATAGTGAATAACAATTTAATAAATGATTAATTTATATAAACAGAAAAATACAATAAATGTAATTAGATTTGATTAGCTTAGCTTAGCTTGGGCCTCCCTCCCATTAACGAGAGCAGCAACCATTAAATAACATCAATGAATATTTTATTATTTTCATATATATTAAGTAACAGGTTAAGTGTGAAGGTATATTAAAGGGTGAGAGTGAGAGATTATGAAATATGAGGGCTACATTGATAGTTAGAGGCAAAGTATTGGAGATAAAACTTTGAAGTCTGGCCGTGTCTTTCTTATTTCTCTCTTTTCATGTGTACATCTCTTATATTGTATATTACAAACCAAGCTAGCCTTTATAGTGAGAGATTATGAAATATATGATTGTACATATCAACTATATGTTCAAAATGCTATGCACTATCAATGGTAAATGTAGTAACACGATCTAATTATATTTTTCGTTACTCGTGCATCAAACTATCGACTGTCAATCATTTTTGGCCTTACCCTAAACGTTGTTATTGTCTTATGAGTACTTTTTGTATCTTACAATGCTTGACTATCAAAAGGAATTGATCATTTTGTTGTCTTTTTCCGCGCAATGCCCTCGATGACTTATAAGGTGTTTAATGAATCCTGATAATTAGTTAAGGTACATACAAATTAACTCGGATACCTCGGTTACCAAAGAAAAAAAGAGTTACTTGGTTTATTTTGACTGTTAACTTTTTCCGGGAAAGATTAATATGTTGGTTTGCTGATTTATTTCTATTTGTTTTTTCAATTCATTTAAAGATGCATTCTGTAGAACTTCATTGTCAAGTCTGTTATCTGATGAACAAACCAATACTTATAATAAGATTAGCCCAAAATTTTTCAAGTAATGGTAGAACTAGAGAGTACAATTGTGCACAATATATTCATAATGATATTTTTTGTAATGAGTTTCACTGTAAATTTTATGCAAAACATAGAAGGAACTAAGCACCATAAAAAAGTGGAAATCTAATAGGAAAAGCAACAAGGGATTGGACTAAAATTATCAATATGGGAATCCAGTTAATAAAGAGAAATGTTATGAAGAAAGTACCTGTGACAAAAATGGATCAAACAACATAAATGCATAGTGACAGTAGAATAAATAGAACAATAATCAATAACCATGACTAGTGAAGGTGATGAAAATATTGAGAAAAAAATCCTATTTTACTGAAGGCAAGGAGACATTAACTGGCATCCACACATTAAAATCAGTACTTTAAGAGAAACAAAGGAGTCTCATCTTTTTCTTGCTTACTGAAGAGACAATTTTCAATCATTTACTCCTTTTTTGAGGGACACTGGAAATTTCCTATCATGAAAAGTCATCAAAATACACTATTTTTATCATCAGAGTGCAATAAGTACATCTGTTCTTGGCAAATTCCATCTCCAAGCTAACTCGACGTTCAGAACAATGTAGAGAATAAAATTCATTTTCCAGCACAATCTGTAACAAGTACTGTCTGTTTCGGAGAGAACTATACATAAGTACCTATTGAGCACCATCTTCAGAGAACCTGGTGTCAAAAGGAACAGAAGGATGCACATGCAGTGAACCACCGGCTGTTCCTCCGTTCTGCAACTCAATTACAAGCCACCGAACAGCTTTACTCATCTGCTCCAACCGAACAGCACTTATTGGTGGAAGACCAGTTGTGGCAGCCTGACCTGACTTCCCAACAACAGAGCCAGTGGCCTCATCAACCAAACACTCTGACCCTATCCTTTGCTTTACGGACTCCACAAACTCCTCGGCTTGATCACAAGCCACCCTAAACAATTCCCACCTCTGTTTAAAGTTCTCTAGGGCTGCATCTGTGGCCACTGTTTTCTGGCCACCTGTAGTTTCCTTGGCCTCAAGCACATTAGCAGCCGCTGCAACAAACTCCTTATATGCAGTACTTAAAGCATCTACAATGTTGTCCATCACTACCTACTAGAACTGCAGGTAAATAAAAGTTCCCTCTTAGACTTGTCGTCACAAGCGTTGAGTGAAAATACCTAACAAAAAATCCACACTGATCATATTGTATATCCGCTAAATTGCAAACCAAAATCTAAACTAAATGAGATAGAAGCAGCACAAAATCTGGCACGGCTAGTCAAGTGATCACCTAGGCTTGCAGGGATCAATGCCCGAGGTTCCCAAATTCTCAAAGATTGTGAAATAGGCAACCCCTAGTTCCAAACTAAATTTCACTGAGCAAGTCTGAAGAATTTCTGGGTCACAAAATTATTTTAAAAATAATAATAATAATAAACAGCATACAAGATACAACTACAAAACTATACTCACTCTCAATCCCCTAATTCATTTAATGGCATAACCTAGATTGTCAAACTCGAGGTGAAAGTCAAAACAATTCATCCCAAATCAAATTTCAAGCTCAAATACGATTCCTA